GTTTAATCAATCTGATTGCCAGTTAGGTTAAATGGTAAGAAATCTACGCACACTAGGTAGAACCAATGATATCTTGGGAGTCTTTAATAAGACAGTTTCAAGAAAACAAAAACTTTTTATAATTGTTTTTAAGTGCAAAAATTCGGTTGAATTGAAATATTTCTAAATGTTTTAAGATAATTATAAATATTTGTAAATGCTCTATAACGCCTTGTTGTTATCAGAAAAATGCAATTTTGAACATTGGTATAACATTCATACTAAAATATAAAACTATATATCATATGAGCTTAGAGTGAGATTGAATAATTTCGAGAATCAGGTGACATCACTACTGTGCTTCATGGAGGACATGAGAGCAACAACCTTTTATACGTTTGGAGTCTGCTATTCCCTGAAAATGTACAACAATGATAATGAGTAAATAATAGTTTATCAACGATATTGTACATGGTAGCTTTTTTATAAACTAAAGTTATACAATCCACAATGGAACTTCGTGTATCGTATTTCGCAACTTATAGGAACTTGACTTTTAAGTAAAAGTCATAGCTATCATGGTAACCAAACACCAAAAACAGGAAGTAACGTCAAGACTTTTCTGGGATTAGTTAAGTACAGAGCAATTTCTTGGTTTGATGGTTGTTTTAGGGCCACTCGGAAGCTAACGATCAGGATTAGTGGGAGTAATAAGAGTTTTACGAACTGAAACTTGGATTACCAGTTCTGACAGGTTTGGACTATACGACAAAAATGCTATAATTCAGGTCACAGCTCCGTAGGAGTGGGTACGGATGTATTGCAGTTACATCATGAGAACCACAGAGCAATTTGGTATTAAACACGTCAGATGTAGAACCAAACTGAGCAAGAGTCACTGGGTGGGCATGTGGACGGTTTTATGTTTTTTCTGTATGATACAGAATTGTTTGAACTGAATATTATACACAAAACTCTAGTGCTCAGTATAGTTAAAATAAAACGTTTACTTCTTCTCCCTTTTGTACTCGAAATAGTTCAAAGGAAAACGACAAACGTAAATATGCTGTGAAATATAGATTGAGTTTGTAGTACAGAAAGACACTTAGGACAATAAAACGCATATAGAACGATTACCACAACATGGTCATATGTAAAAGACTACTACTACGTAACGAACTGAGCGTATCATATATAACCACTAGTTTTAACTAGTCCTTCTATTACTACTACGTAACGAACTGAATGTATCAAATATAACCACCAGCTTTAAATAGTCCTTCTACTACTACGTAACGAACTGAATGTATCAAATATAACCACCAGTTTTAAATAGTCCTTCTACTACTACGTAACGAACTGAATGTATCAAATATAACCACCAGTTTTAAATAGTCCTTCTACTACTACGTGAACAACTGAGTTTATTAAATATAACCACCAGTTTTATCTGGTCCTTTTACTACTACGTAACGAACTGAATGTATCATATATAACCACTAGTTTTAACTAGTTCTTCTGTTACTACTACGTGGAGAACTGAGTTTATCGAATATAACCACTAGTTTTATCTAGTCCTTCTACTAATACGTGGAGAACTGAGTGCATCAAATAACCATCAGTTTTTACTAGTCCTTTTGCTACTTCATAACGAACTGAGTGTATCATATATAACCACTAGTTTTAACTAGTCCTTCTATTACTACTACGTGGATAACTGAGTTTATCGAATATAACCACTAGTTTTAGCTAGTCCTTCTACTACTACGTGGAGAACTGAGTGCATCAAATAACCATCAGTTTTTACTAGTCCTTTTGCTACTTCGTAACGAACTGAGTGTATCATATATATATAGCCTCCAGTTTTAACTAGTCCTTCTATTACTACTACGTGGGGAACTGAGTTTATTAAACATAACCACCAGTTTTAACTATTTCTTCTACTATTGCGTGAAGAACTAATGCATCAAATATAACCACCGGTTTTAGCTAATCCTACTACTGCCATATGAAGAACTGAGTGTATTAAACATACTTACCAGATTTAACCAACCCTACTACTACTACTTGAAGAACTAATGTATCAGATATAACTACCAGTTTTAGATAAACAATAATTTTTATCCCTCACCAGGATATTCTCAGTATTGCACGTGAAGGTTCATTCATGCAGATACAGTTAATACATATGTAAAAAAAAAAGAGAGAGAGAGAGAAAAGATTGTATTCTTATATATGTCGACAGAATAATGACAAGATGTTGTTAAACTTGTTGTTGTTGTGTCACATTCTAGAGTTCATTTGGAATTTGGCAGGATGTGACAGCCGACCTTATAAGTTTATAAACTGAACGACACACTACTTGATACATGGGCAGAGCTACTGATTACTGGAAAAACAGTCAGTAATTCCCGCCGCCTAGTTAGCTATTCTCTCCTGAAGATATATTAGTGGTAGTAAATTACAACATTCATTGTTATGAAATTACTTAAATAGTTGCTTTTGACTTACTTCAGTCATTGTTATTGAATTACTACAGTCGTTGTTAAGGAATTACTTCAGTCGCTTTTATGAAATTACTTCAGTCGTTTTTATGGTGTTACTTCAGTCGTTTTTATGGTGTTACTTCATTGTTGTTATCGAATTACTACAGTCGTTGTTAAGGAATTACTTTAGTCGCTTTTATGAATTTACTTTAGTTGTTGCTTTAGAATTACTTTAGTTCTTGTTATGGAATTACTGCAGTTGTTGTTATGAAGTTACTTCAGTCGCTTTTATGAAATTACTTCAGTCGTTGTTATCGAATTACTACAGTCGTTGTCAAGGGATTACTTCAGTCGCTTTTATGAAATTACTTCATTCGTTTTTATGAAATTACTTTAGTTGTTGTCATAGAATTACTTCAGTTGTTGTTATGAAGTTACTTCAGTCGTTGTTATCGAATTACTACAGTCGTTGTCAAGGAACGACTTCAGTAGTTGTTATAAAATTACTTCAGTCGTTTTTATGGTGTTACTTCATTCGTTTTTATGAAATTACTTTAGTTGTTGTTATGGAATTACTTCAACTGTTGTTATGAAGTTACTTCAGCCTTTGTTATGAAATTACTGATCTGCCCTAACGTTGGATTTGTTTTGGTTTGTTTTGAATTTCGTGCAAATCTACACGAGGACTATCTGCGCTAGCCGTCCCTAATTTACCAGTGAAAGACTAGAGGAAAGGCAACTAGTAATCATCACCCACCGCCAACTCTTGAGCTACTGTTTTACCAACGAATCGCCCTAACACCTAGCCATGCCAGGCCCTTAACGTTGGAAAGACAACGCTGCACAAAGTTGCCGAATTTGAAGGAATATTTACAAATTATATTGCAGTAACAGATTAAAAGGGGAGGATCTATAAAGAGGGAAAAGAAGGGGGATGATGAAAAGTTCAACTTGGTGATAAAATGCTGTTACGGCAGAAAGCACATCTATTATTCTCTATTTATAGGTCTGGGCTTTACGATGTCAACAAAAGGGGAGTAGTTTTTGTTGTTGAAGTTATTTGGCACATACTTAAGAAAACAACTACAACACAGAACAGGAGATACAGCCTGTTAAAAATAAAGTTTACAACAAACTTGTCATCACTAAAGTTAAGTCTCCAGAGATAGGGCTGTGAGTGTAACGGACAAATCTCTGCGCTCTCACTTACAGATAAGTCAGAAAAATGAACTTCGGGGATTACATAAGATTTTGGGTTTAAACATGATACAAGGAGACACAAAAATTAAATTTTAACACTAGGTTTCTATCGATGAAATCCGTACTTCACTGGCTTTTTAAACACAGTTTTCTAAACTATTTATGGACTACAGGACTTCTGGGTCCATGACGTTCTTGGCTATAAAGTCCCGAATAACATATGAGCCACGTAAAAAAATTAAAGAAAATTACCTGAAAACAAAATAAGTGGCGTTTTATGTGAAGACGTTAAAGTGAAAAATAATACTGGGATGTCCTATTTAGTCTAGCCTATACTGACGAACAAAGGAACTGATATAACAAAGGACCCGACAAAAGTATAGCAATTAATAACTTAACAGAATCAAACTTAATCAAACGGTACTGATTCAAAAGTTGAAAACAAAATAAGTGGCGCTTTATGTGAAGACGTTAAAGTGAAAAATAATACTGAGATGTCCTATTTAGTCTAGCCTATACTGATGAACAAAGGACCCGACAAAAGTATAGCAATCAATAACTTAACAGTACAATAATCATGATTTAATACTAGTTTATAACTCAACAAAGGAACTGGTATAACGAAGGACCCGACAAAGTATAGCAATTAATAACTTAACAGTACAACAATCATGATTTAATACTAGTTTATAACTCAACAAAAGAACTGGTATAACGAAGGACCCGACAAAGTATAGCAATTAATAACTTAACAGTACAACAATCATGATTTAATACTAGTTTATAACTCAACAAATAAAATGGTATAACGAAGAACCCGACAAAAGTATAGCAATTAATAATTAAACAGTATAATAACCATGATTTAATATTAGTTTATAACTCAACAAAAGAACTGATATAGCGAAGGAACTCCAACAGTAATTGATGAAACTAATTACAATATTAAAGTACCGTTTGATTAAGAAGCTATTTATGTAATCAACCTATCAAGCATTGGTAATTTGTGTTCATTCTCTTCAGTGTAATTAATTCACTTGTAACTTGTCAGTCATATACAATTACAGATACCATGAACTTTTAATATGTGTTTAGTTAAAAAGCTATTTTCTTATTACTTTAGTAGTTACATATGATTAAAAGCGAGAGAGAGAGAGAACATTTAACACAGAGGCGAATAAACATTCTTTGAATATTATACACACGTGAAAACAAACAGATTAAAGGCGAACAAAACACTTCATTGCTAACTGGACTTTAGAAGCTAATTAGCAAGCCTACTTCTCTGATTTCTTTAATCTTCGATCCGCTTTTACCGATAAGTGAACCACATTGACTAGCCGGAACGATGAGGCGAAGAGTTACTGGAGGCCTTGGAAGGTTAGTGTTAGGGATGTTGTGTAAGTCCTATAAAAGTTAAAATAATACGCTTTGAAATTCATTGTATAGTTTAATCGATAATTATGCATTCAATACCAAGAAAAAACAGCTTTAGATAATAGCAAAATTTTAAATAAAGGATTCACAACCTGAAAATATACCACGTGAAGATGTATTTTTGAAACTAAATATTGTTAACAGACAACGTTTAAAACAAATTACTGATAACTGCCACCTATACAAAATAAGTTATTTTTAAATATGTGCTGTTTGTTTGTTTGTTTTTGAATTTCGCGCAAAGCTAATTTAGCAGTGTAAGACTAGAGAGAAGGCAGCTAGTCATCACCACCCACCGCCAACTCTTGGGCTACTCTTTTACCAACGAATAGTGGGATTGACCGTCACAAATATGTACTGACGTAGGATCTTTTAATTGAACGAAGATGAGTGATTTAAGTTTTAATTCGAAATAAGCAAGAAGGCTGTTAATAAAAATTTTGCGTGAAACATCTTTAGAAGCCGATGTTGGTTTGCTATCTATGTCATGAGAAAAAGACGTAAAATAATAAGGTGTAATAAAACTGTAATGTTTAAACCATTGAAACTGTAATATATTTATTAGTTAATTTCTGTTTTTATCTAAAACGTGAATTCAACGTCTAAACTATTTTAGGTTATAGGTGGTGAGCAAAGTACTATATCACACTGAAACCTATGAAAGGGCTAGCACTAAATAAAATATACTTTGGAAAACATTTTTATATTAGAACTTGATATCTTAAATTGTTAAATTTCCAATAAATATGTATATCATAATTAGCAAATGGAGTAAAAGTAAAACTCATTAAACTGCTGATTTGAAAATTAACATCGATGAAAACATTTTATTTTCTTCCAAAGTGAATAAACAGAAGATAATGTACTCCAAATTGAACATAAACTGAGATATTTTACTCCAAATTGAACATAAACTGAGATATTGTACTCCAAATTGCACATAAACTGAGATATTGTGCTCCAAATTGAACATAAACTGAGATATTGTACTCCAAATTTTCAATTTGGAGTACAATATCTCAGTTTATGTTCACTTTGGAGTACAATATCTCAGTTTATGTTCAATTTGGAGTACAATATCTCAGTTTATGTTCCATAAACTGAGATATTGTACTCCAAAGTGAA